AGATGGAGGTGGACTCCGGGTCCTACCTCTCCATGGTCGCATGGCAGGAAATCAAGCGCCTGGTGCCCGAAATCCACAAGAAGGGGCTGGAAAGCCAGAAGTTAATCCTCAAAGACTACCAAGGAAACCGCATCCCGGTAGTCGGGACAGGACACTTCAAAGTGACTTTCAAAGGGCGCACAGCAAAGCTTCCACTAACGGTCGTGGACCGAGACCGCCCCAGCCTTTTGGGACTACAGTGGTTCGCGCCGCTAGGGATCGAAGTGACGGGCATCGACCACATCGCAGAGGCAGACTGGGAAGAGCAACTCGCAAGGGACTTCCAGGAAGTGTTCAACGGGACCCTAGGCAAGTACCGAGGGCCCCCTATTTCCTTCAGCCTAGACCCCAGCGTTCCCCCGATACGTTTAAAGCCACGGCGGGTATCCTTTGCACTCCGGCCCAAGATCGATGAGCAGATAGACAAGCTCATCAAACAGGGGGTACTAGAACCAACTGATCACGCCCAGTGGGAGACCCCCATAGTCACCCCAGTCAAGCCCGATGGGTCGGTGAGAATCTGTGGGGACTATAAGGCCACCCTAAACTGCGCATTACAACAAAGCGCCTACCCCGTCCCAGTAGTGCAGCACCTCCTACACTCACTGGGGGGAGGCAAGGTCTTCGCGAAGCTCGACCTGGCACAAGCGTACCAACAGTTACCGGTCGACACAGAAACCGCCGAGGCGCAGACCATAGTAACCCACCGGGGGGCTTTTCGTTGTAAGAGACTCCAGTTTGGAGTCAGCGTGGCCCCAGGAATCTTCCAGAGCCTCATGGAAAGACTCCTACAAGGAATCAAGGGGGTGGTGCCCTACTTCGACGACGTACTGGTGTCAGCAGCCAACCAAAAAGAGCTGGAGGGTCGTCTGAGGGAGGTACTCACAAAATTCAAAGAGGCCGGGCTTAAAGTCAAAAAGGAAAAATGCCAGCTGCATACAGAGAGGGTCGAGTTCCTAGGATACCTCCTAGACTGGCACGGCATTCACCCAACCGAAAAAAAAATCAGAGCCATCAAAGAAGCCCCCAGGCCAAGGAACAAAACAGAACTGCAGGCATTTCTCGGGCTGATTAATTTCTACAATGTTTTCCTACCCCAAAAGGCGACCACGGCGGAACCGTTGCATAGGCTGCTTGATAAGACAGCCACCTGGACCTGGGGGAAGCGAGAGGAAGCTGCCTTCAACCAAACCAAGGACCTACTCACATCGGATGCCGTCCTCATCCAATACAATGAGACCCTCCCGCTGACAGTCACGTGCGACGCATCACCATTCGGGATCGGGGCAATCCTCAGCCACACACTCCCAAACGGAAACGAAGCACCCATCGCCTTTTACTCAAGAACCTTGTCGAAGCCGGAAAGGAACTATAGCCAACTCGACAAGGAAGCCCTGGCAATCATCGCCGCCGTCAAAAGGTTCCATGAGTACCTCTACGGCAGGACATTCACCATCATCACGGATCACAAGCCGTTGTTGGGCATCCTGGCAGGGAACAAGGCCACCCCGAACATTCTATCCCCAAGAATGACAAGGTGGTCTGAGTTCCTCGCCGCCTACAGCTACTGGCTGATCCACCGACCCGGCAAAACAATTACACACGCAGACGCCTTGAGCCGCACACCGTTACCCGACCTGGACGCCGACCCAGCACCCACAACATCCACCTTGAGCATCGAGGCCATACCCAACCTCCCCCTAACCGCGTCAGACATTGCCCACGAAACCAATAAAGACAAACGTCTGGCGCGGGTATTACAATGGGCGGAGAAGGGCTGGCCGGAAAAGGACATCGACGAAACATTCAGGACTTTTAAAAACAAACAATTGGAACTTTCCACGCAAAAGGGTTGTATATTATGGGGGGACAAGGTGGTAATCCCAAAAAAATTACAAAAAAGGTTCTTGGACTTGTTACATGAGGGGCACCCAGGAATTGTCAGGTCAAAAGCCTTGGCCAGAAGCTACGCTTGGTGGCCAGGGATGGACAAGCAAATTGAAGCCTGGTTGGCAAGCTGCAAGCAATGCCAGCAATCCAGACCATGCCCATCCGCCGCCCCAATCCGGGAGTGGGAAACCCCCAGGGGACCATGGTCCAGGATACACATAGATTTCGCCGGACCCACAAAAGGACACACATTCCTCATAACGGTAGACGCTTACTCCAATTGGCTGGAGGTAAGCGACATGAAAACCACCACCACCGAGGCCGTCATCCGAGAACTCAACAGACTATTCTCAACCCACGGACTCCCAGACGTAATCGTGTCAGATAACGGACCACAGTTCACCGCTCTGGAATTTGAGAAATTCCTAGCGGAACGGGGAATACGGCACGCCCTGACAGCGCCGGCTCCTCCGGCGGCGAATGGTAGGGCGGAACGGATCGTCCAATTCACGAAAAAAACAATCCAAAAAATCGAGACGGGGAACATGCAGAAAAAAATAAATAAACTCCTTTTTATCCAACACATAACCCCAAACACAACGACCAACAAAAGCCCCGCAGAACTCCTAATGGGGAAGAAACTAAGGTCCCCCCTGGATAGGCTGCACCCCACATACAACCCCGAAAAACCCACAAACTCATCAAGCAGGTACCGAACGTTTACACCAGGCGACACGGTATACGCGAAAAACCTGAGAGGGGACCCCCTCTGGGTACCGGCAACGATAACCCAAGCGACGGGTCCCCGCTCATACCGGCTACAAACAACCGACGGACAAGAATGGAAACGACACAGCTTTGCTGGCTGAGGAATTCTGGGAGTTGAAGTCCACAAGTCTTAAAGTTGCCAAGGTTGGACACCCCTGGTCTTAAGAGTGAAGACTGGTGATAAGCCTTTTTGCAGTGGTACAGTCACTAAATGAATGGCTAAACGTCGAGGATTACTCTTAAGGCCAATGAAACTCTATGGACAGTAGGGGCCTTGGTTCTCTCCGCACTTGGTTACTTGCAGATGTTTTCTATTTGGATAATTAAAACACCTGCAAGCAAACAACCAAGTTCAGACAGCACCAATGACTCCAAAACAATTGGAAATAAGTCAACAAAACTCTATGGACTGTGGGCTCCTTAGGACTCTCTGAACATGATGGTTTTATTTGCAGGCATTTCCAAGTTGGGTTAATGAAACATCTGCAAGAAAACCGTAAAGCTCAGAGAGCACCAAGGTGCAGCTTTGAGCTACAAATATTTTCTTCTATTGAAACTCGACAGAATTAGATTCCCAATGTTAATACTTGCAAGGAAGGCCAATGCATCCACTGATCTTCCTCTTAACATTCTGCTTTATTTGTCACTTTTATTTTGTGACTGCAACCCGCCCTCTCCATGGCAGCCAAAGCATTCACAATTAAATTCTCAAGCGTGTCCACTGGCCAAAATTCTGGGTTGATCTAACAAATTTCTAATTGGAGTTATGGCGCCAAGATGCCTCTTTTAGCAACCTATTTAATCTCATGCATACATTCACAGTACTGTTTTGGACAGTTTTGTTAAAGCCATCCTGGTCAGTCAATGAGGAAATGTTTCTTTAGTTTCCCGGTGTGGCGTTCAGATTTCTGCTCATGGAGAAGTATAGCATGGCTCCTCATGCAAATTTATGGAGTGGCAAAATCGCTTCAGTCTCTAATACCCGTTTTATCCTGAGGGGCTTTTCAGACGGATGCGGAGCAGCATTCATTCATCCCTTGCTTATTGAATCCATCTGCTTTCCGCATTTCCACGATAAAACTGTAAAATAACGGACTATGTTGACTGAAATGGTGTATCTTATAAACCTCACCCCCTTCCTAAGAGGGCCTGTGCCTAAGCGCACCAATCGCGCCTACCGTCCCTGTCCTATTGTTTCTTTTTATTTTTCTTATAAGTATCCATCTCATGTCTTCAAAACTATATTTATTGTTATACCTGTATCTTGTAAGCGATTGACAAATCAAATAAATAAAAATACCACAAAAACCAATCTCCCGCCCGGCAAATTTTATCGTGAGGTAAAACGCAACTGGGAATGCAGGTTGTTGTGTGTAGGGTTTTTGCACGGCGAATTTTTTATTATTTTTTCCTCTGCGTCTTGTAATACACGGACTTTATTGTACTTCTATGTCAGGCAGACTGTGAAGACTCTCGATTCTGAAATGTTAACCGCAAATCAATTTAAGTCGGTGCATAATCGATTCTTCAGCGACATCGAACCGCGTCTCCCCGCTCAAACAGACCACCAAGCTCTGCAATTGGGAAGAGAGCGAGCCAAAGGATCCGAGTTGCAAAAAAAAAAAAAAAACCCAGCCAAGCACCGAATTGTGGCGAAACAACTCCTGCTACCACCGATAGTCCGGAGTTTTGCAGTCCGGTCGGCCGTCACTCTACCTCTAAGCCAGGGGCCTTCCAACTTAGGCAGCTTTAAGCCTGGCGGACTTCAACTCCCAGAATTCTTGGGAGTTGAAGTCCGCCAGGCTCAAAGCTGCCAGGGTTTGGAGGCCCCTGCTCTAAGCGACGGAGAAACCGTCCCTACAAACGCTCGAACTCCCGCAGCCCTTTTCCGAACCCGCGTATGATCGCGAGAAAGTCCGATAACATTCGGCCACCATAGACTCGCTTAGATTAAACTCTCTACCTTTAACTGTAAAGGGATGCTGCTTCCGGATATCCTTGGCGCCATTTTTCAATGAACTCCGTATTAAATCAAGATTCTAAAGCTGTCTTCCTTTTCAATTTGAAGAAAGGTGTATAAAACATACAGGTTTGCTAACCAGGAGTGTGTGTGTGTGTGTGTGTGTGTGTGTGTGAGAGAGAGAGAGATAGAGAGAGAGAATTTCCCTTTAAGAATAATGGAACCGGAAGAACCCTTTCTTACCGAAGATGTGACTACTCTACACCTTTTTCTATATCTTAGGAACCCACAGAACGCACGTTCTGCAGAACTTTCGCTCGCGCGCGCGCGCGCAGTAACCAAAGTCCATGCCACGTGAGACGATTTAATTTCTCGCTTGAGATCGGGAAACCTCGCGATAGCTTATCCTGGGCGGACCGAACGTAAAGATTCAATCGTCGGCATGACCTCCGCGTTGGAAAACTACATCAACCGTATCCTTCTGTTGTCACGAACGCTTACAAACGGGTGAAAAATACGCGAGTGCTGAAGGGGCAAAAGCGGGAATGGGGTGGGAAAGTAAAGCGCTTTGAGGGACTCCCATCTAATTTCGCATTTCAGTCTTCGCCCATTGTTCCCCGCGCGCGCGAGGGGAGGGTCGGCGGCCTGCAATTGGCTGCAAGCTCTGCCATTCTTCTCTCTCTCTCTCTTTTTTTTCCCTCTCAGAATCGGCTCCGCTTGGATTGGTTCGATTTCGTGCGAGGGGGCGGGCTTTGCTCTAGAACGAAAACGGTCCTGAAACTTGGCTTGTGGACTTCAACTCCCAGAATTCCTCAGCTAACATGACTGGGAGGAGGAATTCTGGGAGTTGAAGTCCACAAGTCTTAAAGCTGTCAATAGGCATGCATATATACACACAGGCGGATGGATCAAATTTCTGTGGGAGGAAAAGGGCATAATTGCCGAAGCAATTGGTTTTGAATAGGGAGAGATCTAGTTTCTTAAAAGGCTCTATATCAGGGGTGTCCAACCTTGGCAAAGCTGGCTGAGGAATTCTGGGAGTTGAAGTCCACAAGTCTTAAAGTTGCCAAGGTTGGACACCCCTGCTCTATATGTAGCATTAGCAAGCGTCAGCTTATCCTTTTCATTTGGCACGGAACGAGGAGCATACCCACAATTGTATGTTCACAAAGACTTGAGGTCATTCCTTGACATGAATTTTAGGTACTGTTGCTGTGATTACTTCAGATGGCCGAATGATTGTGGTGAGGTTTTCTTTTAAACTCATTTATTTTCTAAAATGTTTTGACTTGCGTTGTGCTATTTTTTTGCCTGCCACTAGTGTTAAAATGGGACATGGTGGCTCAAGGGGCTAAGACGCTGAGCTTGTCGATCAGAAAGGTTGGCAGTTTGGCGGTTCAAATCCCTAGCGCTGCGTAATGGAAGGAGCTCCCGTTACTTGTCCTAGCAGTTTGAAAGCATGTAAAAATGCAAAGTGGAAAAATAGGGGACCACTTTGGTGGGAAGGTAACTGTTCCGTGTGCCTTCGGGCGTTTAGTCATGCCCGGCCACATGACCACGGAGACGTCTTCGGACAGCGCTGGCTCTTTGGCTTTGTAACAGAGATGAGCACCGCTGCCTAGAGCTGGAAAGACTAGTGCAAGGGGAACCTTGACCTTTTAGTGTTAAAATCTCATTCAAGAATTTTTTGCCCATTGTGAAAATAATCGGTGTGACGTCCTTGTGATTACAGCATAGATATCTAGATTTGCAGAGTTAATGTCAACCATTAATTAACCATAACCCATTTATTGGTAGAAAAAAAGTGTGCAGTGAAATAAGTGGATATAATTGGTCACGGTGGCCTAGTGGTTAAGACACTGGGTTTGTCAACCAGAATGTTGGCAGCTTGAGACCCAAGTATTGGGTTGATGCTATGAGCTCCTGTTCTTGCTCCAACTCCTGCCAATCTAGCAGTTTGAAAGCATATAAATGCAGGTAGGTAAATACCGGTAGGTACTGCTTCAGAGGGAAGGTAACAGTGTCCCATGTGCCTCACTGTATAGTCATGCTGGCCACATGATCATGGAAATGTCTTCAGACAATGCTGGCTCCCTCAGTTCGGAAATATGAGCACTGCCCCCTAGAATCACACTTGACTGGAAAGGAGAAGTCTTTACTTTTTTAATTGATTGATGTCAAAAAACTCACTGGTGAGGACAAAACAGTCGAGACCTGGTTTGATGTCAATATATAATTTATTGTTATCCATCTCATTTAAATACGAATTGCTGTTAAGATTTTTAAGATTAAAAATAAATAATTTTAACAAAGATGCTTTACAAATGAAAATTTGATAGACTGCATTTATGTATTTATTTTAGGGCACTCTCAAGGGCTTTGATCAGACAATCAATTTGATTTTGGATGAGAGCCATGAAAGAGTATTCAGTTCTTCGCAAGGAGTGGAACAAGTAGTATTAGGACTATACATTGTGAGAGGAGATAATGTGTAAGTTTTATCATTTTGAAGATGATGTAATTTCAGTTGCTGTTAAGGTATGATGAAATCACCTGTTATTTGAGAGCCTATCTGGAAAGAAGGTTATTGGTATCCCTCTAAGCTGTGGTTTCTCAAAAGTTTTTCCCCCATCACACCTTCCTTTAGGTACACACCTCCCTTAAAAATCCAAATCAAATGAATAATTAAAATAATATGGTACAATGAAAGTTTGGGAAAGTTGGATGTATTATAGCAATGTAATTGAAAGGCCTTCATACCTCCCCTGGATTCTGTCTACACCTCCCCCAGAGGACCTTCACAGTTTGGAAAGCCTACTTTTTAAAGTTTTTCATTCTACTCCTCATTGATGAAAATTCACTTTCCTTTGCCCCTTCCAACTACTTGCATACTAATGTATATTATTCCTTTATAATCCAACCCTTATGCTTTCTTTATTTGTCTGTTCATTAATATCATCTCTTGTCTAACATTCATAACCAGACTTTATTTCTTAAACAGCCAAGTCATGCCAAAGTCTGATATTCCCTCTGAACCTTCTGTATATTTTCTTGAACACACTTTTGTATACATGTATATGACTGCAATGTAAGGGAAAAATAATTGCTTATTTTCTTTTTTAAAGTCATTTTTGCACAAAATACTTTTCTGTATTGTTGGTGTAAGTTATTGTTTCCAAGGTTTTTTTTTAATGGGGTAACTATTTCAGTACAGTCCACAGGGGCTAGATATTATACCCTTCTTTTGTAGAATTCCATTAATACTTTTCCGTTCACTGAAAAGTATGAAAAGAATATTAAGTAGAAATAACTGTTTTTGTAATAGAATGGTATTCAGGATCTGTTGGTATTTAATTTAAAATATCTCTGTAACTAGAGCAATCCAAATTTCTTTTTCAGAGCTGTAATTGGGGAAATAGATGAAGAAACAGATTCAGCCCTTGACTTGGGAAATATTCGAGCAGAACCTCTGAACTCAGTTGTACATTGAAAGACAGAAGAATAAGGACTGCTTTACAGAATTATTTATATACAATGGCAAGACTCCTTTTTAAAATTCACATAATTTGGATCATTTATACCTATTTTTTACTGTTAACGCTTTATGTAAATTAAAGTATACATTTTACTGCTGACTCCAACATAGCAATGGGAAAAACAACTTTAAAAATTGTTACCTAGAAGTGTTATAGCTTAGAACATAAGGAAATGAAAATTCTAAACTACTGACACAAAAGAAATATTTTGCTGGGAGAAACATTCAGAAAAAGTAAATGATTTTTAAATTTTATTAAATAAATCACATTAAGTACAATCGTACTTAATAAAAATATTTTTAATTTCTTAAAATAATGACTGGGTGGTTTGTGCCATTTTAATTTACTAAGCCAGTTTAAATAATTGAATGTATTCACGTGAGTGAGGATGATTTGCAACATGAATGAAACTTCCCTTTCCATCCCCACCTTAGTTCAGTATGCAAGATCCTCTAAATCTTCTAGCTGTGATTAGGAGACAGAATTCCACTACCAGCTATTGTTCTTCTAATGAATGGAGACTCTAAAAGTTGTGATACATCTTGGGGCTTTTGTGTGTGTGTGTGTGTGTGTGTGTGTGCTAACATTCAAAATTAATAGAATTTTCAGAAATTGTAAACTTAGGACACACTATATCACTTGAGCATATTCTATCTCGGGTATAAAACTGGATTTCTCGAAGGGTCAGATCAGCATTGTAGTTCTCCGCTGGTGGGCTGGGGAGGGGGGGGGGGAGATGGGATACCCTCCAGCATCCTACTGGCCAAAACGGGGTGCAAGGTGCTGCATGAGGGACCCCCCATACCCCGTTTTCAGCCTGGACAGCCTCCTGCAACACTCTGCCAGCTAAAACTGGCACAGGGGGCCCTCATGCTTGCTGCGGGCCGGTCCTTTGCTATTTCCAGGCTAGCCCCACCATGGGCCAGATTTAAGCACCCCACGGGACAGATTTGTCCCATGGGCCTTTAGTTGGACACCCCCTGTTCTATCTCAATGGCAATGGATACCTTACAGCACCACCCTTGAAAAACTATAAAACAATAGCCCAAACCAGTTCGAGATATAGAAAATGCTTGAGGTTTTGCTTTAATCAAATCATCAGTGCATTTTCGGGACTACAAAAATACAGATCAGAAGTCTCTTGGCACTACTGCTGCTGGAATGGCTTATCAGTATGGGATGCCTACTGCTGAACCTACGTAAAAATGATTAATAGAAAAAGTAGAAATGCCTTGTATATGAAATGCATTTGAGGGCATAAAGCAAATGTATCAGAAAACAGTAACTTACCTGACGACATGCAAATTAATTAAAAGTACAAGAGCAAATCTAGGAAGGACTTTTAAAATATAATTTACATATAACTACAAACTTAACAGAGGCAGTTTTATAAGTCGGGCTAGTGTGAATTTACTAAATAAAAATATGGGGGCGGTGGAGAGAACAAAATGGGGACCACAAGAGAGAGAAGTATTTTCTCTGCATACAAGTACACTGTGCCAGATAGGCATCCTATTGAAAAGTTAAGTAATCAAGCCATATCTACAAGTTTGCAGACTTTATTCAAATCATATAGTTTTTCTTTAAAACATCTAGATACTGCTGTCTTGCCTTGGAAACTTGATCCTGGTCTATGTTTGATGTTTTTGAAGATCCATCAACTGATCCTACAGGGGAGATTCTAACAGATCCAGCATCAAGCTCAGCTTTAGCTGAAAAACAAGAGTATTTTTGACAGGTTTCATATCATCTGATGAAGTGACCATGGAATCAGAATGCCAGTTTTGTTGGACATCACGAGCATTATTTTTAAATGTGTTTAAAAAACTTTCTAGCCACAGTGTATACCTTTGCAAACATACACGTTTTAGAAATAAGGATAACAACTTCACCCTATATTACCAATGTCTTCTATGCAGAATAAATCACACTGTAATAGTCAAAGGGAATGTTTGAGGTTATACATAGCAGAAACTAGATAACAGCATCAGGGCTAGTGATTTGCTACATTTCTATACAGGGAGCTATATGTACAGTGTGTAAGATGCGTAAGTACACACACACTAAATAAAGCTCCACACTTATAGCACTGATCTTACATAGTTGAGTAATGAAATACCTACAAGCAAACGCACAAGATCAGAGAACAATGGAGAATTCTCTGTGGTCCAAAAATTGGCATGGTTATTTGATGGAAGCACTAAAATTTGTATGTCTTGTAGGAATTTTAAAGTATCATTTTCACATTTTTAGTTTAATTTTATATGTTATTTTTTTTTTCATGTGGATAATCCAAAATGAAACATGCATATATGTAGAAAAACTTTTCAACGTGCTATAAAGTACATGAATAATAGTTAGCTTCGAATTTCATCTCAAAATTGAATTTATATAACTTACTTTATTAAAGCAATTTATCCATTATAAATTAGCATGCTATCATGTTTAAAATCAATGGAATAAGTTACACTTCACTTAAATTTTATTAATCTCAGCAGAGCTAAATTTACCTTTTATCTATTGAATACATAGCTAGTTCTGAGTGTTTCAGGTTCTAAAACAATTGCTTATAGTTCTATAAACTAATAGTATATCTAAAATATTAGATTATTTCCTTCCTTATTTACATTACTTTGTATATTATACATTAGAACTATATTTCTATGATGTGGATTAGTTTATTGCTCAACAGGTAACAATGGGTTTTATATTTTTATGTTCTAAAAATAAGTTGCTGAAGCTTTTACTGTGGCCACATTTAGGTTCCAAAATGTAAATGATGAGGTGCAATGTCTCAAAATTTCACTATTAGTATCATTTTCTTGGCGGCTGGGGGTGGGGTGGGGGACAAAGCAAACAGCAGAACAAGTTTCAAATTGTCAACATGTAATTTTCTATTTACCTTGGTCCAGTTCTTTTGTGATACTTTTTTCTAATTCCATCTGCATCTGAAATTATATTTAGATTATGGTTGAAATATTATTAAATGTAAAATAAAAATACATCAACACAGTATCACTTAAGATATTTTAACAAATTTCACATAGGTTAATCTCTTAGTTTTTTTAAAAAATATACCCCAGCTTTTAACTAGCATTGATCAAAACTTTACATCGTGGATTAGCATTGATGGATCAGCACTTGCTGATAATATAATATCCAGTCAAAGGTAGACTTCACAGGTAGCTTAAAATGCAAAATAAAAATGTTTTGACTAAAGAACAAATCTCTGTGTATGTGTGTATATACTTATGTGTACACATAATCAGATAACTAAGAAGTGCAAACACAATTTTGAAAAATATGTAAACTACATACTTTTTACAAGGTGCAGCTTCAGCATTGGTTATGATTGCAATTTATATGCATAATCTTCACTACAAATACACATGTATTTCTCTTTGTATGCTTTGTTATTTAGTGTTACATATTACATTGCATTAGGGAAAAAAAAACAATCTACGTAGTCTTTGTTAGCTTCTGGCAGCACTTTTTCATGCACAGATAACTTCATGTGATTTGTCAGGATGAGGGAAATCTGGTTTCAGAATAATTTCAATCAGTTTAGAAACATTGTCAAATGTCCTGTAGAGCAGTGATCCCCAACCTTTTTGACGCCGCGGCCCGGTACCGGCATCAGCTGGGCGCCGTCATCTTTTTTTGATGAAAACGTGCTTCCGGTGAGCTTTCTACCCAGAAAAGCTCACCGGAAGCGCTGGCGCCGCCATCTTTTTTTGATGAAAACGTGCTTCCGGTGAGCTTTCTACCCGGAAAAGTTCACCGGAAGCACTTTTTCATGAAAAAAAAAGATGGCGGCGCCCAGCAAGCCGCGGCCCGGTAGGAGTTGTTCCGCGGACCGGTACCGGTCCGCGGACCGGTGGTTGGGGACCCCTGCTGTAGAGAATAACTGAAGAACCAGTGGAACCAGCGCTTCCCATGGACGTAAAAAGAAAGGGGTATATACCTCACTAGGGGTTTGGAGTTGACTTTATTTTCACAATGTGGATCAGTTATTTTTCCATTAGCTCACATAACAACACAAAGTTAATTACTTCACGGAGCTGCAGATTTTGTGTCTGGTTGCACATTTAGGTATTTAAACATCATCTGAATAGCAGCTCATCTTTCTAGCCTATGTGGGGACTTAACAACTTTTAGCACCAGATCTTCAAAGGAATATCTTGTTTCTAAAGGAGTCAACGTGGAATCCACTACAATATCTTCCTACTGTTGGCTGAAAACTAGGAAAGTTTTTCAGGTACCTAAGAATATAAACAGTGCCCTGTTGGATTGATCCATCTAATCCCACAAACTCTTCTCATAGTGGTGAGCCAGCTACACAAGGAAGTGCACTAGTGACTAGTCTGCCTGCAGATGGCCTTTACAGACAATACTGCCATCAAGACTCTTAGCCATTGGTCTCGACTTCCATGAATTGGTCCAATCCTTTATTGACCCTGCTAGTAGGCAGCACCACATCTCATAGTAGCAGCACCACGTTATCAGTGAATAAGACCAATAAATGGGTTGAAGGAAGGTAAATTGCAGCCTAAGCTAGACAAGAGAAGGTAGGAATTTAATACATTGGATGCTGTTACTTTCTTTGAAAACTTACAACTTGGGTCCAAGATTACCCACAGAATCTTAAAAACTAAGAATGCACTTGCACAGTTAAAATTACCATGCCAGACATATCATTCTGAAGATGCCTGATCTAGTCACAATGAAACATGCCATAGTTATGTCCTATATGGTTTTATTATGATAAGCACTATCTAATAACTAAGAATACTGGCTATGGCTTAACAAAAGGCTGTTCAGACAAAGCTAAAACTACATTCTCCTGCATTTGAATTTACCCAAATATTAAAAGCACTTCTGTCTTGGCATCATGACAAATGTATTTGGTTAATGGGAAATTCTGGAATACCAATGTATCTTGCCCTTTGTTTTATTTCTCCCAATATTTTACTAGGCAAATATTCTGTATTTAGAGAGCCAGTTTGGTGTGCTGCTTAAGACATCAGGCTGGAACCTGAGAGACTGAGTTCTAGTCCCAACTGAGACACAAAGCCTGTTCAGTCACTACAGGTTCTCTCTCTGTCTTAGTAATGGTAAACCACTTCTGAAATCTTGCCCCAAAGCCTGCAGAGACCAGTCCAAGCAGTTGCCAGGAGTCAACACTGATTGAAAAGCACAATTTTTATCTATTTATCAATATGGATATTCTATATTTAAGCTGCTTTGTCTACAATGATGGGCTTTAATTAGGCACTAGGTTTTATTATTTTTATTTTACTGTTAATAGTTGTTAATCACAATGATAGACAATATATAACTCCAATATATACTTTTCCTCGCTTTTCTCCAATTTATAATTTAGTTTGTTTTCAGTTATTTGTATCCCACCTTTATTATTTTTACAACTTCAGGTGGCAAACATCCAGTACACCTTCTCAGAAAAACTGTCCAGAATGAGAAAGAAACCAAAATTCACCATCAACTTAATGCTACCAACAATTCTGCTTCAGTTCTTAATAAAATTAGATGCTCAGTCTTGTCTATTCAGTCATTATGCTTACCTTCTGAAATATATCTACACTAAAAAGGAATGTTGCAAATAATAATAATTTATTACATTTATATGCCGCCTAACTCCAAGAAATTTTGAAGTATTTAGAAAGCCAAATAAAAATCTTTATGGCCCTTTATAGTTGTTTCTATGAGGACAGGGAAGACAGAATATAGCAGAGGAAATGTAGCAGACATGCTGATAGCACTGTTACGTCTCTTTTAAAATCCTTCCTAAAATTCTGATTTTGAGTCTGCTTTCTGCCCATTTTTAAAAAAATGCTTATTTAGAATGAAAATAAATTTAGAAAGTTATAGATCTGGGAAAATTGCTATCTGTACTTCAAGGGAGATAAAAGAGTATAACTACTTTCCCTGTAGATGAGGGGTGTCAAACTCGTGTCATCACATTGTCATCACGTGACGTATCACGACTTTTTCCCCATTTGCTAAAACAGGAGTGAACATGTCCAACACATAACGCATTCAGCCCACAGGCCATGAGTTTTATGCCCATGCTGTAGATATTCATGATTAAAATTAATATCCTTTCAGCTGCTGAGTCATGAGACAAAGTCAAAAGTCATTTAATTGGTCTGAAATTCTTGAGTACGTGTGGCATAGAAAACTGAACCGTGCGAACAGCTGAAAGTCCAAGAAGGCTGAAGATGTCTGTGATATTTTTTATAACAGATGTTTCACTAAAATAACTTTAAGTTTTGGTAAATTTGCATAGGAAACTAGCCATGAAAATTAATCAGAAGCATAATCCTATAGATCTCAATATTCCAGCCATATTCTCAAATCATACTGATTTGCAATTTAGATTACTGTGGAACTATGAACAAAGGAAATTCCTAATTTGAAAGTTAAATATGAATCACATTGAATTACTAAAATGACTAATTTTCAATTACTCTAAATATAGTAAAACACATTATATATTACATAAATATGTTGTAATGGGTTATTATTATTTTATTCATATCTGTAATTTTCACTGTGTTATTTTCTTACAGTATAATGTGCAGTGTTTAACTAATCAGACACAGGACAATATAATTCAGCAAAAGAAATTACATGGTATTCAGCAATACTGACTACACACCTTGTTAAGTCTCTGGTTGCAGAGAAGAGAAGGGAGAATTAGATTTTTGATCAAGGAGCTGAAGAAGTAAAGAGCAAGCCATAAGTTTATGGTTTTTGATGACAGAAATGAAAGTGACTAATCTACAAAGGAGTATCAGAAAAGAGAAACGTTATCTACTATTTGAAAAGAAAGGGTAAACTACTTTGGAGGAGCCAATCATGCATACTTCATTAAATCCAAGAGAATTCAATGTGACTTATTTCTAAATAAACATGTACCGTATATAATGTCTGCTCTATCTAGAAAGCTGCCTTGACAAGACATTATTCATACTGGTCCTAATTAAAAGTAATAAGATATGTTAATCAAGATCATTGTTAACTTTTTCAAACTTCAATGAGATTAAAACATGGCTAACCTCTTCTAGATTCTAGTTAGAATTACTACCTAGAAATATGTAACAATAAACTTGATAACTCTAAATTCTTTGCATATTTTATTATCCTATAAACGGCAATAGTTCAGCAATGATTTGCTATGTTCATACAAGGTTAAAGAGTTAGGGAAAGAGGAAAAAAACCAAAACTTTTTCTAAATTATTTTTTAAATAGTATAAAAAGCAAAATGACTTATATAAGTAAAAGATAGTTTGCAATGTATTAATGTTTATGGTAGTTTTTCATTATTTATTAAGATTTGCATTCTGACAAAAATGTTATCAATAAGCCAGGAAATGAAACCTACAAGGAAATTGGAAATATAATTTATCATATAATCCTGAAGGTTCATATATAAATGTAAATGAAAAACATACCTAATTGTAATACTTAATTTAGTATAGAGCTATTAAAATATTTATCAATTAAACTAAAGTCTGCACCTCAATGTACTTAATGCACAGGCATACAGATTTATGCAGAAAGAAATTCTGCTTTTTTTTTTTAAGAGTCACCTGAACTAATCTTTTATGACTTTTCCTTTATGGACTGGATCCAGCTTTACTGTAGCGGTATACAACTGGGTGTGGGAAGGAGGCGTTCACGCCTCTCCTCCCATAACAGCTTCTTCTCTTGTGTGAAAACATCAAACTTGCTGACTAAATCGACAGACATCTGTGGTATAAATTTTATGACCCTTTATATTATGGCCTGACCCATTCAGTAAGGCCCTTTGATTTCTGTATAGTATTCTGCAGAACTGTCATGAGAAGTAGACAGCAAAGTTCAATTTATGTTCCTAAATATCGTTGTCAAATTTGTTGTCCCCTGAGGTTAGTGTGACAGTGACTTTTTACAACCTACCAAAAACATAACCGTAAAAGACAGACTAGAAATAAAAGTTAAAATAAGCAAAAAAAAAAAAAAAAAGGTAAGAGAACCCCTGTCTGATCTTGATGAACACAAATCACTAGGATCTGACGGTTACATCCTAGAGTTCTAAAGGAGCGGGCGGATATCATCTCAGAACCACTGTACCGCATCTTAAAAAATGGAGTGGGGGGAACCAGACCCAGGAAACTTACAGACCAATCAGCCTTAACATCAATACCTGGGTAGCTACTGGAAAAGTTAATAAAAATCCAGATCTGCCAACATCTAGAAACGAGTAAAGTAATCACTGGAAGTCACCATGGGTTTGTTAAAAACAGATCATGCCAAACCAATCTTATTTCATTCTTCAACATAGTGACTAAATTAGTAGATCAGAGAAATACTGTGGACATAATGTAATATATAAGCCATAAAATACTGTGGACTTCAGCAACACATTCAACAAAGTAGATCACAACCTACTTCTTGGTAAGCTAGAAAAAGGTGGAATAGATAGTATCACCACCAAATAGATTCACAACTAGCTGATAAACTGTACTCAATGAGTAGTCCTTAATGGGTCTAAGTCTACATGGAGGAAAGTAATCAGTGGGGTACCATAAGGTTCCCTGGGTGAAACCAGGCTTAATAGCAGTAACTGTGAGAGGGATCTTGGAGTCTTAGTGGACAACCAATTAAATATGAGGCAACAGTGTGCAGCAGCAGCCAAAAAGGCTAATGCAATCCTAAACTGTATTAACAGAGGGATACAATCAAGATCAAGGGAAGTACTAATACCACCCTATAAAGCCTTAGTAAGACCACACCAAGAGTACTGCATCCAGTTTTGTTCACTACATTATAAAAAAGATGTTGAGACTCTAGAAAAAGTACAGAGAAGAGCAACCAGGATGATTAGGGGACTGGAGGCTAAAACATACAACGAACGGTTGCAGGAACTGGGCTTGGCTAGTCTAGTGAAGAGAAGGACCAGGGGAGACATGATAGCGGTCTTCCAATATTTGAGGGGCTGCCACAGAGAGGAAGGGGGTCAAGCTATTTTCTAAAGCGCCTGTAGGCCAGACAAGGAATAATGGATGGAAACTGAATAAGGAGAGATTTAACCTGGAAATAAGGAGAAACTTTCTGACAGTGAGAACAATCAACCCATGGAACAGCTTGCCCTCGGAAGTTGTGGGAGCGCCATCCCTTGAGACTTTCAAGAAGAGATTGGACTGCCATTTGTCAGAAATGGTGTAAGGTCTCTTGCTTGGGTGAGGGGTTGGCCTAGATGACCTACAAGGTCTCTTCCAACTCTGTTATTCTAGCTTTGGAGCTAGTATTAAACTGTTTTACAAAATGCAACGGAAGCAAAACTGTTAACAATATAAATAAAGCTCAGAATAAATGCTTCTTTTTCTCTCTGCCATCCTGTGAACATATATGTGGCAGAAATTTGGACAAGATGATCTACAGATTTTCCCAAAATTCAGAGGAAATTTATTCCATCAAATGAACACATATGCAATTACAAAAATGAAAGTGCATTTTTCCTATTTTCTTTTAAACTAAAAATCATAGTTGCATATTGGTTTGACATTCCAGATTGGATGAAACAGAAAACTATGGTTGTAGATGTTTTGATCTAATTACCTCCTTACCTAAAGAGGAAAGAATACTGCATATGTGTATGAGAAAGGTTCACATAACTTGGTAAATTAAGGCAAGGTTAGGAGAATACACTTGGTATTTATGGGGAAAATTGTATTCAATTACTGAACACAATCTTTCTAATAGATCAGTTTTTAATTTGAGAATTGCTATGTTCTTTTATAAATATGCCTCAATGTACTGAATCTCAAGGCACTTCAATGGCAAAAACTTGGGAACTTTATATTAAAATATCATTGTATTTTTAAGAATTTCTTTCAGCCAAAATTAGTTTGGTAATAAGGTGAATTCATCAAACATAGATTTAACCCCCTTTTAAATACATATACACTTATGAATTTTTTTTAAAAAAAATACTAACCTACTTGCTTTCTTTCTCCCTCTTTACATGCCTTATTCTCATTCTGCCTCCTTCCACTTCCAGTTTCTTCCTCACTCATGTCTAGTTTTTCTTTACCTTCTCTGTCTCTCTTTACAGGTCTCTTTAAAACAAAGTGAGAAGCTTATCTATTTTGTCTCTCCTAATAGCAAGTGTTCTTTCCATCATCTACTTCTTTTGCAAAATTTACTGTTTTCACTTTTCTCCTTATGTATATTCATTAGTGCTCGGCTCATTTGGAGCACCTTTCTTTTATGACCGATTGCTTACCTGTAATGGACATTAATGGAATGACGCATCCGGCCCATGGGCCAGGAGTTTGACAGCCCTGGTCTAGAACTTTACATCAGATAGTTACCCTGTTTCTCCAACAATACGGCTTCCCCCAATAGGAAGTCCCAGCATGTTTTATAGGCATGAAATGAAATTAAGCCCCTCCCCCCAAATTAAGGCCTATATTAAAACATGCGAAATGGGGGGGATTGGTGGGGGGCGGCTTGCCGTTAGGAAGTACTTTTGTTGCACACCCGGATATGGTGCTGCCTGCGTTGACCCCGATACGAAGTGCCCCACCAACGCCGAGGTCAACATCCAAGCCATCACTGCCCGCCCGCCCAAAGATGCAAGGGTTTAAGTCACCCCCGAGAAGACGGCCTAGCCATTTTTTCGGGGCTCAAAAAAAAAATAAGACCCGGCCTTATTATATGAGAAACACGGTAGATAGTGCCCTTCTTTCTTTGAGTATAGAAATCTATACTGTGTATACACATCTCAGTGTCTTCCTCTCCAAATTTTATAGATTGAATATTAATAGGTAATTACCTATAACTAGGTGATTAATATTTTTAAAGTTTGTTCCAAGTTTAAAAAAAGAAAGAAAATGCTTTCCATAAAGTAATTCACTTGGCAGAAATTACCATAAATAAGCACTGGTTATCTGAAGCAATATGCTACCCTTACCAAATTAAGATTTCACTGTATTGTTGTCATTGGGGTGATTACTACCAAACATCTGGGGGGAATTATTGCTATATATCCTTTTATAACACTGCATCATTCTTTCAATCAAGGCAGCTTCTGAGAAGAGAAACGCCCATCGCTGAAGAATACAAAAACATCCTATTGGAGTAACATAGAATTGTGCTTCGATTTTTCTTCATTTTACTAAGATTAAATTGCCACAATTTGAATGCAATAATTGGGTTCTGCATACTTAAATAACAAGAATTAAGATCCACACGTGTAGCATTCAAATTATTTTGTTTTCTTCCTATAATACAGGAATTTCCCCAGTCTATTTTATAAATAAAGTTCTACGGAGCTGGGGAAGGGGATGAGATCTGGATGTCTTGCAAGCTGCACAATGATTCAAGGCAAATCCCCCACTTGACTCCTCCTTCCTGCTTGGCTGAACATTTGCCAACACTTTTTCCCATACCTGGAAGTTTATCCAACACTGCAAGTTTTTAAAAAGATGTTGGATAACCATTTGTCTTAAGTAGTGTAAGTTTCTTGCCTAAGCAGGGGGTTG